GTCCTATTTTGTGTCAAAATACCTATGTTAGAATAGTGCTATATATAAATCTAATATATATCCTAAGTCGCGCTTTCGAGACATGAAGAACGCAATTTGAATTTTGTCAATCGGCCCAGTAGATCGGGAGATATAGGACTGTCGCCTTTTTTTTTTTTTTTTTTTTTTTTTGAGCAGTGTGCATACAATACATTTTCTAATTTTGTGTTATCTGACCATATATATTTTGAATTTTAAAATAGCCTTCACTTACACCACACAAATTTAATTTAGCACCATTTGCTACAGTTACTATTTGTTTATTCAAATCATTTAACTGATAAAAAAAAGCTCTTATCACTTGTCATATGAGTTGAGCATCCTGAGTCGATAACCAATTCTTCTGTTTTTTACTTATGTTCATGTTCCACCTTTAGCACTACTCTTCCTAAGGTATTTATTTTCTTTATCTTCTTTTATGTTTATATTTTCTATGTTTTGAGTGTTTTCCATTTGTCATGCATTACTTTTATAATTTTTAGAATATTTTCTCATTCCTCTGTTATCTACGTTTTTTTTTGGGGGGGGTAGAGTCCATGCATTGTATTTTAAATGAAAGCTATCATTTCTTGTGTGATTATTTCTTTTACAACAAGTGCTATATCGTGTAACATTATATTTTGATTTCTCTTTGCTTTTGCCTTTTAAAGCAACTGAATCACATTTTTGAATTTTCTTAGTTTCTACATGTCTACAGAACTCATCTATTAATTTATTACATGATCTAGCGACAGTTCATTGTCTGATTTACCTTCTATTCCAGTTATTATTGAGTTGTAAGAATTTGGAGCATAGTAAAATTGCTATTAGGTTATTTTCTTTAATTTCTTCGCCTATACTGCCTAGCTTTTTCAGCCAATCCTAATACTCCCTTGATATATTCTTACGTTTTGAAACTTTCATTATATTTATTAGAATATCATTTTCTGAGAAGAAACAATTTATTTGTTAAATTTACACGTTCGTGAACAGGTTTCAACTCCCATACTGCTTTAGCTTATTTACTGTGTAAAACATGAATAATTTATGAATTCTATATGTTTAGGTATATTAAAGCTTTGTCTTTATGGTTGTTTTTTAACTATATATCATAATAACCTTCCGTAACCTTTTTAAATTAGAAGTTGTTCTATTTTAAATTTCCAAACTGAAGAAGAATCATCTGTTAACTTTTCTGTAGAAACTGATTCTTTTAGAATAGGCATTATTACATTTATAATTTTAAATTTTGTAACTGATATTTTCAGCAATAAAGAAGTTTTAATATTTTATGCCCCTGGAATCCTACAACAATATATCATTTCAATTTTATAATTTCAACTTTTAGAGGCATTTCCAAAAGGGCAACTTCTCAAGCTTATTAAATCACTCAGTCTCATAATCATTGATATGTCAAGCATTTATCACAGTTTAAGCATCTGAGTACACAATCCTTTATTTAGCACAGTTTTATTAAAGAATCATAAGTTAGAATAACTATGAAATCTTTATTTAACAAGTTAGAGAGTTTGCTTAACTCAGATAGATCACAAATAGAATACAAATCAAAGTTAACAGGTTTTACAATTATTTAAATCAAAATGTTGAAAGAAAAAAAAAAGAAAGAAAGAAAAAGAAACTTGCAAGAGATTCATTTATAATTTTAAATAGTTTCAGGCTTACTTGTTAAGCAATATTATCAGGAGTATATTCCATAAAATAAGATAACATGCTGAAAAGAATGAAGGACAAATATAATGCAAGTACAAAATCTTCTTATGAGTTCTGTATCTAGAAAACATAGATAGAAGCCTCTCTCCCCATTGTGTCATTTGGTGCTTGTTTGTTTTTGACATTGACGAGTTTCATTATGCAAAAGTGACACTAATTTAATCTAACAACTTTGAGATCTCTGTGAAGGAGACTGTTCGTGATGTATGTATAGGCACTTGTTATTAATTTCAGAACATGGCTTTTAATTACTTGGAGCTTATGAATATATGCATGAGTAGCTGTTATTCATGCTGTAATGATGTAACACATAACAGACCTGGTAAGGTGGATAAACATATCATTTTCAGTTTAGATTCAGACTGGAGTACACGCATAACAGAGAGATAAACTTATGGATGATGAAATTCGCGTTTTCGATGGTTTGTTTTATATGCATATTCCTTGTAAGTCTCTGATTGGTAACGATCCCCAGGTAGGTCACATTAGGGATTCTAGGAACCATATTATTGAACAGATATAACTGATTGATCATTAGGAAGATAATTTTGTTCTTTCTGATTATAATAAATGTGATTTGCTTCTATTGATGCAAATTCTTTATTCACTGCACAATACTTCAGTTTAAAATATCTTATCCTGTACTGCACGTTCCACAGAATATAGAGCCTAGATTTTGAACCCTGAGGCATCCTGGCTTTAATGCTGTGATATGTAGAGGAGACATTGCCTTATTTAATGTTGTCTTAAGGGAGGTAAGGTCTTAAGGTGGACTTAAGTATAACTTGTCTTAAGCAAGGTTCTTAGTGAGCTTAATCATTTTCCAACTAAAGTCCATTTTCATTGATTTCTAAATATGCCTCTTGTGCTAGATACAATGGAATGCTTTCACCATGCTTTTTTTTAGCATGCAGCAAATTGTTTATTGTAAAGAACTTCCTCCACAAACTCAGTTAGCTCCAGAAGTTGTGTAGTAATCAAAATTTTTTCCTAAACCAAAACTCTTCATTTGGAATCAGGTTTAAGTAAAACTGCAGTCTAATTAGAATAAATCTCTTAGAAGTTTGCTTTCTTAATGATGCTTGAAGAAAATCCTTCCAGTGATGATGTTGCGCATACCTACCTTATCCTTGATTTTTTAAGCAAAGCAAATATGTAAGATTGTTTATCAATCTAGATTTGTCATTTTCTGATAAAGTAACTTAAGGAAAGCTGTTTCTTTCATTTGATTAACTGATCAGTGTAATTAATAGTGCTGCCCAATGCAATTAATTCAATCTGGGTTTTGATTATCTCAACAATTTTTGTCCTTTTGGAGAATATTGTATATGCATATTGTTATATTTGATGCTTTTAACATCTGAAATTTTAATGAAGGATCTTTGAGTTTTGCACATCAAAAACATGTAAAGTAAAATTATTTTTTATGGTATTTTACCGGAGTGATTGTTGCTGCTATGCTATCAAAAGTATCCTTGTTTCCAGGTGCACATTGAATCCTTGATAATTCTGGGTGGCATTTTTACTTTATATTTATTGGGAATTCTTGCCAGCAATATTGTCATTATATTGATGATGATGTGCATACAGGAACTTACAGTATTTGTACTAACCAAGGGAGAATTAGCAGTATTATTAAGTCAATAAACTTCATATAAATATGATTATTTTGGATAGCTTAATTCTTGGAAACACGAAAGTTTGGCTTGTATTATTAGTTTCTTTAGTTTTTTGAATTTTTTCCTTATGCATTTTCTTGGCATTAACAACTTTGCAAATTGTAGTATCATGGCTTATAATAGAATTATTATATCAGACAGTCTCATTATCAGTGAATAAAACAATTTTATGCAATTTAAATTTGCAGACTTCTAAGAAATTTATATTAAACTCCAGTATCCAAGTATCATTATCTGTGAGATGACATTTCTTCGGTAACAGCAATCTTAATCTGTCTAAATTCTTTTAACTTCATTGATGTTGAAATTCAAGAAAATTTTAATTGAAAGCATGATTGGAAATAAATTTCAGTGAATGTAAACCCAGTATTAGCAGTAAGAGGTAAACATGATTAGCAAACTTTATTCCTTATAGTCATTCCATCATCTATAAATTCCTGTAAAAGTAGGTCACAGAACTTTTTGAACTGTACTATTCTGTGTTGAAAAATGAATTCTCTTTCTTGCAAAGTAGGAGCAGTTATTAAATCATCTACTGATAGTATGTTAACTGTTGTGCTAGTTCATATCACTGAAATTCAGTTTACAGTTGAAAACAAAACAATGATTCTTGGTATGGTGTGACCTGGATTGTATTTAGAAATTCATTTTGAAAAAGAACTTTGAATTTTTTTCATTTTTGAAAATTCATTGAAATGTGTTTCTTTAGTTGAATGCGGCACACAATTGCTATCTGTCTAAAGGAACCTTAGTGGATGATATTCTGAAGAAAACTGACTTGTATTACTGTTGAACATCAATAATTTTTGTTAATTAATCAACCATGTAACTAGCCATTTAGTAGAATTTGAATGTGAATTGAACTACCACTACTCTCTGGACTTATCGATTCAGCTATTGATTGGTTTCAATGAAATATGAATTTTTTCAAATTTATTTCCTTTTGAATTGTAGTTTCATGCAGTGCACATATATGTTGCAAAAATTAAAAGCACTTTTGTAAATAACAGTGTAAAGCACTCATTTTTTAAAAATCTGTAACTTTCAATGTACATTTCTTTACTTTCATAAATTTTATGCTTAAATAAGTAGAAGCAGTAAAGTAGGGATACCGTCAAGGGTTACTGTTTCAAGCAATCCCGTGATAGCCTAGTCCCTCAGGGTAATACTTTGGTGGACCTAGATGTCAAGACCTTAAAGATCCAGGTAATTGCTCCTTGACTGTGACTTGGAATTGTATTGTCAAACATATTTCTTTCTGTAAGTAATGATGTTGACAACATAACTGTAAAGAGAATTATAATTCAAATAGCTAAATATGAAACTTCAAAATGTTTTTCCTGTTTCTTACTTGTGACTTTATATTTTAAAAAAATTGTTGTTTGAAAATTATTTGACCAATAAACATATTGAGGAATGAAGATTTTTTTATGTATTACTTAGGCCTATATTGGCCTCTAAATATTAATAAGATTGTAGCAAAAGAAAGCATCATATTCCTCATGCAGATTAAAGTTATATTCTTTTTGTTTCAAAAAACGGAGTTATATTTTTTTAACTGTATTTTTGTAGATATCTGCAGCAGTATGTTTTCTACTATCACCAGGCGCATCTTTTATTTCCGGCGAAACTCTGCATGTAGATGGAGGAGGAAGACTTTATTCACCTCTGATGTGGAAAATACCTGGTTAGTTTATTGGGTTAAAGACTTTATAGCTTTACGTGAACTAATACAAATTTTGATTTAATTGACTATTGTGTACATTAAAGCTAAAGGTATCTAAATGTGTTTGACACACAGATTTTGAAAAATAGAACAAATAAATGTATTATTGGTGTTATTCCAGTAGAATGCTACATAAAAATAACAGAAATAGGTGATAAATATATTATCAAAGTATAATTTGTACTTTTTTTTTTATTTTGGGTTAAAAAGATGTTAAAATTTCAGGATTACTAGATATGTTCCCCCCAAAAACATTGATCAATATTTTACTTTTATTTTTTTCACTATATTTATTAAGTCGTGAGGAATTAAATTGATTAAAATCTAAATGACAAAGTAAAATGTTTATTAAATATACCTGTTGGACCACATGCACTAGCTATTTGAGACATTTCTTTCTTTACATGTACAAAACTCTTTGCAAAAATGTTAAATATGTACATAAATCTAAGGTTTTGCACCATTTAATTCACAATATTGTATAGAATATTTGTGGAAAGTTACAAAAATTTACTACAATAATATTTTTAATTATAGTTGTTTTTTGTTACAGAAAAGTTGAAAAAATCAAGTTTTTCAAAATATAGGTTTAATGTAATGTAAAAATAAATGTAATGAAACACAAATGTTACCAAATGTGAAATTGAAATTGCAAAACTAATCTCTCTCCTGAGCACTTAATATTAAACAGAAAGTTTTTTAAATCTTTTTCGGACATCACAAAAAGTATTCAAAATGAAAAATTCTCAGTGTAAAGATATTTTGAATTGTCTGTGTCCAGTTAAACATCAACTTCGACCTTTTCACACAGCAGCTTCCGATTCACAATATAGAATGAAAAGAGGCAAAACAAAAGTAGTTTTTGGAAGCTAAAAGCTTTAAAATTAAGTAACGATAAATTTTTGGAAAATTTCATCAAAATTAATAATTAGAGAGCAGTCGGATACTGTGAGTGATTGCTCATAGCACACGTTACCACTTCCTCATGGGCATACCAGATGTGTGTGCTGCTTCATTACAAGTTATCACCTGTGAGACAGATATCATTGCCGCAATTTGAGAATTTTAAAATTGATAGATTTCTCTTTTTTATGTCGTTTTACAGTACTTTATGTTATGTTAGGCTAAAAGTGTCAGAGAATATAAAATAATAAAATAGAAACTAATGTACAGGTTAAAATGTAAAACGAGCTAAAAAGTACACCTTCTTTCACCCACTTTAGGTATTAAGCATTCCAAACTAACAGAGACAAAGAATCTGTGACTCACCTGGGGCAGCATTTAGATTCCTCTCAAAGCTATCTTCTGTGCAAGGAAACAGTATAAAAATGAAACAATACTCCAAACCACTATGAACGGGACATAAACATTTTATTATGGTTACATAAAACTATACAAAATGTCTACAATTTTTCAAATTTGCCCCAGCCAGCGAGTGGCATTACTTTTACACAGCTGTGTCTCTCTCGCAAAGTCATAGCAACAACATCAAAAATATTTTTTTTAAGCTGCTTTCGCCCTCTGTTGGTGCTTTTTTTGGCAGTACAAATAATTTCTTAGTAGACAAACATGAATATTATTTTCAAAGATATATAAAGCAGTTATACTACTTGCAGCATTTTACTATAATATAATTAATGTGTAAATTCAAAAAACTGTAACATGCAGAATAATATACATGTTTCAATAGAGTGTTTGCTTATAATATCAAGATTAAAGCCACAATAAAGTTGAATAAGTATATTTTAGATGGCCATCAAGGGCTCCCGTCTTGATTATTTCAAGAAACACTATGGTTTCTTAACACTTTATATCACATTTAATTAATATTTTATTACTATTGGTACTATATATGTATAGATACAAAGTGTTTTAGCAAATTGGCTACAAACTTTCAGGAAAGATAGAGTACAACAACAATATTTGGCATGTCCTGCTCCACGTGAAACTTTATGGTCCTTACTACAGCATCAGTTTAAACGGGACCCTCTGGAAGCTGGAGTGAGTGGGACACAACCACTGGTTTTCTCACATACAGTCCAACCTCATTAAGCCTTTGTGCAGCAGTAAAATGCCTAATTCAAGTTCCTGTGGCAGCCTGAAGCTCTAAAACTAAATCTCTTATAGTTATTTTGCGGTTTCTTCGAACTGACAATGACAGAACAGTCTTCCTATGCAGTTGTTGCTTTTGGTCGCCCTTGACCACACTGTCTATCAACTAAGCTAAACTCAGTGGCGCAACAGCTCCAGTAGGCCACGGCCTTCTTGACTGGCTCCGGAGTGTATCAGCATATGCCCTGGGCAAGTGGTCAGCTTGTCGCAGGACCCTGGCATTTAGTCCCCAAGCAAAAATGGTTCTCAGTTTATCGACCTACTTAAAGGGTGAAAGGCTGAGTCAAGCTTGCCCAGCCCGGGGATCGAACCCCGGACCTGTGGTGCAGCTGCGCGATGAGCTAGTCACTTTGCCAGTGGGCAGTCCTATCAACTAATTCAGTGCTTAAAAAGCAGCTCCAAACTCTTGATATGACACTTTGAAGGATATTCAAATCTTGGGCGACGTCCATTTTGTTTTCACCCTTCCCCAATTCTACCAATTATTCACCAATTTTGACCTTTATTTAAATGATACCTTTGCACCATAACTACTGAATGTTGATCACTCTTAGAAACCACATTCACTTTTAAGCATCACAACAGACCGGAATTCCAAAATGTGTCTATTGCGCATCACATTGTCAATCACAGAATTTGTATATTTACTGTGCTAACGTATGCGGATAAGTTCACTTTTGTGTATTGTATTTAATTAACATAAATAACTACAGCATTGGGCATTGGTTGCAACATTAACTTAGTGAGCATATTTTTTCTCATTATACTTTAATTCTGATGACTAGTGTAGATAATTTGGTTTATAACACAGTGTTCAAGGGCATTTTAAAAATTTCTAGATTTTTCTAGTAATTTTGATGATAACATGATTATTTATACTGAATATGATTCATATCTGCTCAATTACATCTACGTGTATTTTCCAGTTATAGTCCTCCAAGTGTAAATAGTGAACATCTTTTACCTGATGCTAGACATAAGTGTCAATTACATTCTTAAGATTTTTTACCACCTCCAACAACATAGCATCTTAGGTTTGACAATTTCTATTGCTTAAAGCATATTGCAAAATAATGAGTGGCTATATCTTGAGAGTGTATTGCAAAGAATGTAATAATGCACTATGTGATATTCCTTGTTTTAAAATTTCTCATAATAATTAAAGTGGCTAATATATAATGTGTGAAAATATAATATTCATGTAATAGTATGTTTTTAAATTTATGTAAAATATTTCAGCGTTTTAAAGAATTTAAGCAATATTAACTAAAGAAAATGTTCTTTCAGTTCCTATACTATGTTTTATACGTTTCTCCAGTCTTTACATTCAGCAAAATTTTGCACTTGCTGTATAAAAAATAAAACTCTTGATTGATCAGTTAATAAACAAATTAGAATAATTTGAGGTTGATTCCCATCCTCAAATGTGTCTCATTGATACTGTCTTGTGATTTACTAGTGCCTTTAGTTTATAATTTTGTTACATTTGATATGCAAAAAGTACTTTCATGAAGTAATTTAAAAGTTTACTAAGTGTAAAAGTATGTTGTTAAATTCCTAAGAAGTTTTTAAAATTTAATAATCATAATCTGATAACAGCACAAAAAATTTTTTAAATTACAAATATTTTTCATATTTATTAATGCAAATAATATTATGACTTGTCTACATGAAAATACTAAAGTCTGCCAGTGTTTTCTACAACACAGATTCTATAACAGTCTGTCAATAAGATCTCCGTTTTGAAAAAGAAATTATATTGATTAAAACTTTAAAAAAAAAAAAATCTGCACAAAATTGCTCATCACCTAATCCATCAACACCAGAAATGTTTTTCTAAACTAATATTTTATTTTTGGTTACATATAACTGCAAACATTTTGCTATTTAATTTGTGAACATCCCCTAAATATTATCCCTGACTTTAATATCAAATATCTTGATTAACTTTTACCATACAGAAATCAAATCTTTTGTGTTTTATTTTTATAACAAGCAAATTTTCTTGAATATAAGTAGAGGATTGGGGCAACGCATAAGTTAGATTTTTTATTTTACATAATTTTTTTAATTTTATAAATATGGCAATATAAAACATTGTAGAGACATTAGGTAATTTTGAAGCAGGGGAGATGAAAAATGAGCAATGCCCTTGCCGGAACTCGAACCATGGACCTCTCGAATATGCATCGAGCGTGTTGACCACTACACTACGAAGGCATGCTAAGAAAGCAGGAGAAATACCTTATATACTCCCCCTTTTAATTGCATTCAGGTGACGATGCAAATCAAAGCTGTAATGTGAGGGGATGCCATCATGCTGAAACTATAATAAACATGTTTTCTGAACCTGTTCGTGTCCTTCCTTTCTTGTGTTTTGTGTCATCATTACCGCTCCAGGAAAGCATATCCAAACATGCAATGTAAAGTGATTTACCAATTGTCTTTGTGTACTCTATCTTAGGTAGCAAATCTAACGACCAGTGCTGCCTGGGAACATCCTAGGTGGTGCGCCACCTTTTCTCGAGGGGCGTGTCTGGTTCTGAGGGGTGGGTGGACCTGTAGTAAGAACCATAAAGTTTCACGTGGAGTAGGACATGCCAAATATTGTTGTTGTACTCTATCTTTCCTGAAAGTTTGTAGCCGATTTGCTAAAACACTTTGTATCTATACATATATAGTACCAATAGTAATAAAATATTAATTAAATGTGATATAAAGTGTTAAGAAACCATAGTGTTTCTTGAAATAATCAAGACGGGAGCCCTTGATGACCATCTAAAATATACTTATTCAACTTTATTGTGGCTTAGTGAGCATATCATGTTCAATGAAGCCAAGATGATTGGGCCCAAGTATTCTTTACTGATGA